ATATATATATATATATATATATATATATATACATACATATACACACAGACAGAATAATTGTTGTATTGCAATATTATATATATATATATATACGGACAGAATATGTGTTATTATTGCACAGACCCGGAGCTTCTTCGTGGCCCCTCTCTTCTGACTCGGTGCCCCCTTTGAAGTCATCCGCCTGACCCACGAGGCTACGACCGTTACTTCCCACACCACCAAACGCTTCTCCTGCGGCGGTCTCCGCGGAAACAAGCACTCCGTTCTGGGGCGTGTTTTCACTTTCCTCCCCTCTTTTTGTCACAACTTTTGAATTAACAACCCTCTTCCGAACACCCACTGCCGTTTGTATATTCTCCCCTTCACCAGATCCGATAACGGCCATGTTTTCACTCTCATTTCCCCCGGTGATGCCATGATGACAAGCCCCGTTGTAGTGCGAGTGAGTCCGGTCTGCTTCCTTGCTGCTGCCGGTCTTAGTGGTGGTGGTACCACCGGTTCTCGAAAACGTTCCGCTTACTCCACAAAAGTGCTGAAAGCGAGCTACAAGGTGCGGGTCTTGGAGATAGTGATACAGTTCTACAAACCGGTTACTTTTCTCCATGTTTACTCCGGGTTACTCCCCCCCCCCCCCACTCACGGCTGAAAGACGACACACTAGACTCCGCTACTCCTGGTTCACAGTAGACGATGGACGTTAGCTCCACGGCTAACGTTAGCTGGCTAACCCGTGCATCATGGCATAGGGAACCCCGTTACAACGGCGGTTAGTATTATTTACAACGGTAAGACGATAACGGACAAACACGAGCGAGTCCGGTTGTTGTTCGACGGAGTCCGGGTGCAGTCAATGACCCGCTATCTGAGTAGTATCCTGTAAGTGACAGATCTACGGAGCACTCAGGGGAGCGCGCCTTCTGTGGTGCTTTCAAGTACGGTCGGACATTTTTTTACAATTCTTTGGTGACGTTCAAAAAAAGACAGAATATTTTATTTTTTTATTCCTATATTTTATTTTTGCATTGCCAGCGGCTGCTTCTGTGTAATAATGGTGCATATGACAGTAAATAACTTAACTGGCTTTCATGTGATGTTGTCGCTTTTCTGTTTTTTTTCTGTTTTATTTTTATTTGTTGATTTTACTAAATATATAAATATATATTTTTCATTTCTTCGTTTATTTTTAAAGGTGCTGTATAAATATAGTTATTATTATTATTATTATTATTACAGCATAACATACACACTAATTATTTTTGAAGCGAATTCCAGTAAGTTTAGTTTATATCTTAACATTTACACCTTTTAGGGAAATATATATATATATATATATATATATATAATACATATCTTACGATGAAGAAGGAGGTAAGTTTTGTGACAAAACGACAATATTATGAAATTCCCAGAGGGGACTGTGTGTTTTTTACAATCTGAAATCAGATAATTACTTGTGCCTCTAAAGTTTGAGCTTGCTAGGAGCCCTTGAAGGCAACAGTAGTTCCGGGCGCGCACGTTTAACAGACGTGTGAAGACGTCACGACGTAACGTGACCGCGCTTAGTGCATAGCCGATAATCTTTCCTTCTGCAGTTGTGTTCATAAACAAAGACCCACTCTGACTCCTACATCCTAAGGACAAGTTCACACTCTCTTGCACATCCTTTTCTTTGTTTCAATATTTAAATACACTTGCCACTTTTATAATATACTTGTTTTAAAGTACTGCATTCTGTTTGTTTACCTATCTTATTAATATGTTTTTCTATTTTTAAATGTCTAGATTTTTGCACTGTGTTCATTGTTATGCACCAGCCACCAAGTCAAATTCCTTGTGTGTCTTATACTTTTATTTATACTTTTATTAAAGGACTTGTATATTTTTACATGGTGGTGTATTTACTTTTGTTTACATATCTTAGTACTTCCTACATCACTAGTATTAGCTACTTTAACAATAACATTATAGGACACGATAACACTTAGTGTAAGTGAACTTTTCAAAATAAATGTCCAGCAGCTGTTTGGTTGTGTATCACTGTACCAACCTGTTTTTTTTGTCCTGCTCGGTTGCCAGTTTGGAGCTGCATTGCTGCATATTCAGTGCAAGTGAACTGCGTGGAGCGGAAAAGGACTGAACATCCTCAGTGTTAAACAGCCCGCTGCAGCCGTGGTCTTGGACGCCATTTCAAATTAAAATAGACTTCCTGAACCTTGCCACTGAGCTGATATTTTACTTTCCACACTGTGGATAATCAATAATACTTTGTTATAACATGTTTTTTATTTACTGTTAACCTGTGATTCGTGCAGCCAAAAGCACTATGTGCTGGTATTTGCCAAAATGAAGGGAAATTGTATCTCAATTGTGGATTTCCAGACATAGAGTATGATAGTAGCTTTGGGATGACATCGGTCTCTTATTTAGAATATATAATATCAATAGTATTTAAAGTGTTAATCCCTCCCTTATCTGTCTAAATCACAACCACACACATACTCTCAAAATGATTCCCTAATAGAAAAGAAACAACCACATGATCCAAATTAATACAACTTTTATTTATAACAACTAAAACATGAACACAAAATACTGAAATAATAATCTTTAAAAACATCCTCCAAACTCTCCTCCCCTCCCACCACCATCTCCTCCTTGGTACACATGTACAAAATACAAACATTAAATGTGACATTGCTTTTTTCATGTTAATTCTTTCATAATGCAATCAAACAGAAAAAAAATTCACTTGTTTATAATGTGAATTCCTGTTCATCTTCATACTAATTTCTTGTTACAGAGTGCTGGAGTAACAGATCATATGACATGGTTAAGCCAGCTTTGAGTTCAATACTGCTTCAATTTAATATCCTAATAATTGTAGAAACTAACAGCCAATGGGGAAACTCCTGCCGACCAATGGTGTAACTTTATTAGTCATTCAAAGTGACAGACTTTTGTGCGTATAGCCACCGTTTTCCTGGACTGCAGCCGAAAAGACCAAATCCGATGAAAACTATAATCATCACAGTCATACTGAGACTACATTCAAACTACAGCAAAACATTAACACTTAGCCTCAGCTTTCGCCTTCTCCATCTCCTGCTGCTGGACAGCTTCTCCTTTGTATCCGACAGCTCTCTCCGCAGCAGAAGCACCTTCTGCTCCGCAGCAGGATATCCATGATGTGCCCGCTCACCTGCAGCAGACCGGTGTGGACGTCCTGGCGCGGCACTACTGGATCTGTACTTTTTACTGCAATTACAAAACAACAAATGTACAAATGACTTTTGACAAGTTCATCTGGAGACAAACTTACAGGTAACAATAACATGATACAAAAGTGTTGCATATACAGTAGGAACAATCAGATGAATACTAACACAAACACCACCACATGTAAAACTTACAGTCAGGAGCTGAATACTGTCCCACAGCCTCCACCTCCGGAAGATTAATAGAAGGCAGTTTCGTGGGACTGTCCATTTTCTAACAAACATTACAAAGTACACAACAAATCAACAACACACAACAATAATGATTATACTTTATCAACAGATTACAGGCAAAACCACTGGAAAACAATTCTTCAACAATAATAATGTGCGTTGATATGGCTTTCCAAAATATTCAAAGGATGACTGCTAGTGCATGTTTAGGATCAGCTAGCTTACATTAACTATCAATTCAAACACTTCATTTGTCACAATATCTGAAAAAAGCACACAAGATACATCTAAACGATAATACAAGTAAATGCAAAACATGGCTATTAACAATATCATTCATTACAACACCTGTATAAAAGGTATATACTCCTGCATACTTACAAGTGTGGCCTTCCTGCATGTATGAGTGCTGCAGGTCTGCTGGTCTGGAGCAGGACCGCTTTGATGACACCCAACATCCTTTGCGCTTCTGATTCAGCGGGAAGCGTCTATTGCGGATTGCGGACTATCAAAAATATTGGAGATTAAAAACAACCTCTCCATTTTTAGCATCGTTATCAATTAATACGTACAAAGTCACATACACCGTTTTGTTCTGAACTACAAACTGAATTGAAATTATACCTTCAAATGGCAAATTTTCGAAATTTTTACGGTGCTATAAAAATATTTTTCTCTATAATTCCAGACAATGACTGATGCATGTGTTCAGGACATCGTTGACTCCATCCCTACTGAAAATCAGACTTTTTTACTGTTCCAAGAGACATAATCCATGATCAAAAGCAAGCTAACCGGCTAACTCACGAGCGAAGCTAGGTAAGCTTCCGACAGGATACAGCGTTACGTCTTCAGTCCGTCACAAAGTCACTTCTGACACCAGTGTAAAGTTCCACTTACGAGTCGGGGACAGAGTGAACTCCCTTTGTGAACTGGTTTATTAACATAAACCACTAAACATAGAGCCGAGCGACTCACAATCAAACATTGCGGTTTTCACACCACTCTTCTTCGTCAGTCCCGGTCTAACTACAATTTATAGCTCCCGCCACAGCACAGGATAATCCCGCCCCCTGCCCTCTGCTCGACCAATCACAGGCACGCACCTTGACCAACAGGTACAGGGCATTCCCGTGATTGGCCAGAAAGAGGGCGAAGACAGACTGAGCCCTTTAATACAAACTCTTAATTGCACAGAGACGCTACACTATATTTAATATATTTAAACATCATATACATCATAACATATCAATATTTTAACATTAGGCTCGTTCGACATAACACCAGGCGTGCGTAGAATCGACCACCGGCGATCTGCGCAAAATGCATGCCGGTTAAATTTGTGTCCGACATGATCCCGGCTTGTTGTGACGTGATGAACAAGGGGGCAACGATAACCTCGCGAGAACGAGGCGGCCGCAGATTTTAGATGTAGGCGCTGCGGTTGCTCTCCACCGACTGCAAGACCCCAATGCATGATGGGAAAAGCCTGGCTGTCTTCGGATCAAAGAGCTGATTGGCTCTTAGATTTGACAACGAACCACACGTTAAGTAGAACATCTTAATTTTCTGTGTAATTGTAAAACTTAACTCTAGATTGTAACAATAATAATATACAAGGTTATATATTTGGCATCTGTAAATAATTATAAATAAATATTGAGAAAGCCTACATCCAACTTGATGTCAACATTGTTTCAGCCAGAGCACTGTAATGTGTCCATCGATTAACAATTGATTTAGAAATGACACTATCTTCACATATATTTATTTATATAAATGTTTAAATAAATATGACATCCAAGAACTAAAATATGCCCAATTTTATATCCTCAATTATAATAGTTAAATAAGTAAAAAAACATCCAAACTTAATGACCACTGTGAAAAGTAGATTTATTATTTCAGAAAATCCCATTTGTGTGACCTCAACATATTGAAAATACATGTTACATTTGTGAGATTAAATATAAACATCTCATATGCCCGTTAAGAGAATTAGTTCTGTTAAATGTATTAGTTATTTATTGTACCATTACAGTAAAGTATAAGAAAAACATTCTTGAACGACATCATCTGGAAAATCAGCAACACACACACACACACACACACACACACACACCAGCAATCACTGTGATGGGCACAATCTGTTGTCAGTTATAATGGGTTCAGTAGATCTGCTCCATTTCCAGCAGGTGTGTGGTTATTTCTTGTCAAGTAATCGGGGATATAAAGGCCCCTGCAGGACCTCGGTTAAAACCTTCTGGTGACGAGCGAGCTCCATTTGGGGTTCGTGCGAGACCTTTTAGCGTGGTAGCGTAAACGTACACGGACCCCCTGTAAATTAGCCCAGTAGTTTGCCATCAGTTGCTTTCTCCTTCAATCCAGCGGCGTGTTTCCCATCTCTACCTGCGGGGCAGGTTCTGCATCAACTTGGTGGGTAACCTACAAAATAAAAGCCCTCAAATTTAAAAGAATTATTGAAGTAATTCCTGCAGTCTAAAATATTATTCCCATCTTAAGTTA